GCGATCCTTCTGCCTCAGCCTTCCAAGTAGCTGGAACTCAGCTACAGGCGCATACTACCACACCTGGATAATTTTTTTGATTTATTGTAGAGATGAGGTCTCGCCAAATTGCCCAGGTCGGTCTCGAACCCGTGGGCTCAGGCAATCCACTCACCTCAGCCTCCCAAAAGCGCAGGATTACAGGCTGAGCCACCGAGCCTGGCTTCAATAACTATTCTTGACTGACTTATGGGGAGAGCTATGGCCAAAAGAAGCCACCTTAGAAAGTAAATTAACTGCCAGGCTTGGTGGCTCAGCCTGTAATCCTGCGCCTTTGGGAGGCTGAGGTGAGTGGACTGCCTGAGCCCGCGGGTTCAAGACCCGCCTGGGCAGGCGAGACCTCATCTCTACAATAAATCAAAAAAATTAGCCAGGTGTGGTAGCGTGTGCCTGTAGTTCCAGCTACTTGGAAGGCTGAGGCAGAAGGGTCGCCAGAGCCCAGCAGGTAGAGGCTGCGGTGGCTGGGAGTGGCCACTGCACTCCAGTCTGGGCGACAGTGAGACTCCAACTCAAAAAAGAAAGTAAGTTAACTAAACCCCACAGGTCTTAGTATAAATGAAAAATGAAGGAAAATCCTGTAGCTGACAATAGAGTCAAAGATTAGAGAATCAACAGGATACCAAGACAATTCAATGGGAAAATAACTATTTCAAAACAAATGGTACCAGAACTACTAGATGCAAAAGCATAAATATGAACTCCTTCATCACACTATATACTAAAATGTAAAGTCATGATAGGTCATAAACCTAAATGTAAACTATAAAACCAAATAAACTATAAAACTCTTAAAAGAAAACATGAGTGAATCTTTATAACATTGGGTATTTTTAGGTAATACTAAAAACATAAGTGACAAAAGAAAAAGCAGAGAAACTAGATGACATCAAAATTTAAATATTTTGTACTTCAAAGAGTACCATCAAGAAAATGAAAAGACAACCTACAGAATGGGAGAAAATATTTGCAAACCATGTACCTGATAACGGTTCAATAACCAGAATTTAAAACTCTTACAAAAAAAGATAACACAATTTAAAGATGGGCAAGAATATGAACAGACACATCCCAAAATGGTCAATGAGCATATGAAAGGATGCTCAATGTCACTAGTCATTATGGAAATGCAAATCAAAACCACATGAGATACCTCTTCATGCCTATTAGGATGGCTACCGGAAAAAAAAAGTAAGATAACAAGAGTTGGCAAAGTTGTGTGGTAGGATTACAAGATGAAGCAACCACTTTAGAAAACAGTTTGATAGTTCCTCAAAACATTAAACACAGGATTACCAAATGACCCAGCAAAATTTCACTCTTAAGCATACACCCAAGAGACAAGAAAAGATACATCCGCACAAACTTATATATGAATTTCCATAACATTATTCATAATAGCCAAAGTGGAAACAACCCAAATGTCTACCAATTGATAAATAGTCAAACAAAACGTGACATATCCATACAATGGTATATTATTTGGCAATAAAAAGAAATGAAAGACATGGATGAAACTTGAAAACATGCTAAGACAAAGAAGCCAATCACAAGAGACCACACACTCCATTTGTATAAAATTACCAGAACAGGTAAATCTATAGAGACAGAAAACGGGACTGAGGCAATGAAAATGTTCTAAAGTTAGACAGTGATGACTCAATTCTGTGGATATATTAAAATTCACTGACCGGTATACTGCAAATGGGCAGATTTTATGGTTTGTGAATTATATCTCAATAAATATGTTTAAAAACGTAAACAGGCAGTTTCTCTCACCCATGCCACCAGCTCTGGCATGTCTTCATTTCTTCTCTCTTCTTTCTCTAATAAGTTTTGAAAACTTAAAAAAAAAAAGTAAATAAGCCCAAGCATAGTAGTCCACACCTGCAATCCCAGCACTCTGGGAGGCTGAGGCGGGAGGGATTGCTTGAGGTCAGCCTGGGCATCATAGTGAGAGCTTGTCTCTACAAAAAAATCAACAAATAAATTAGCCAGGCATGGTAGTGCGTGCCTGTAGTTCCAGTTACTCAGGAGGCTGAGGTGGGAGGATTGTTTCAGCCCAGGAGTTCAAGGCTACAGTGAGCCGTGATTATGCCCACTACACTCTAGCCTGCATAACAGAGTAAGATCCTGTCTCTCAATAAATAAGTAAGCAAACAAACAAACAAAAAAGAGAAGAAACAGAGAATTTGGTATCTGCTGAAGCAGAAACAAAGACCACAAAAAGCCAAGTCAACGGCATGGTAGGCCACAGGGCAGGCAGCAACAGAAACCTGTTCCCGTGAGGATAGCCAGAGTTACCTCAGGTCAAAATGTCACTTAACTGTCACTTCCTGGGCAGCCAGAGTTACCTCAGGTCAAAATGTCACTCAACTGTCGCTTCCTGGGAGAGGCACAGGGAATACAGTGGAAAGCCTAGACTGTTCCGAGGGAAGCAGCATGGTTCCACCACAGTCTAACAGGTCCTGAACTAGAATAGGGAGGAGAAGAAGACTTCCTGAAGAACTCAAGCTTGAGATGAAAAAGAAAGGATGAAATAGCGGCTCCTTTGGAGAAAAGCTGAGGTAGGGCAGTGTCTGAGGAAACTACAGACACAAGGGACCTGTGGGAGGAGGAAAAAGAACACGTGCGAGCAGAGAAGGCTCGTGTGGTCAAGCTGGTAGAGAGCAGGAGCAGGTGGTGTGTCCACACAGGCCTCAGAGCCACAATCAGAAATTGATTTAAATTTTAAGATCTACTGTAAGTTGTTGAAAGGTTTTAAGCAGGTGACTAATGTGGTCCAACTTACATTTTTGGGAAAGAGATGAAAGGGGGCCAAAGCAAATGCTGGCAGACCAGGGAATGGGCTGCTATGGTCAACCAGGAGAGAGACAAGGACGGCCTGGGTTCAGGAAAGGGCAGTGGGCATCACAGGAAACAGACAGGACCTGCCACACCCAGTGGAGTGGACAATGCGTAAGCCACTCTCGTCCTCTCTGAGGGCTGCAGGATTGGTTTCCTCTCACCCTCATTCCACAAACCCTCTAGTTCGCCCCCAATAACTCAGGTAATCTGAATGCTCATCTCTGTTCCAATGCTTAGATCACCAGTGATATGGCATCTGGCCCTCTGAGCTGCAGTCCCAGTTGCCAGAGAAACCTGGCCATTCTCAGCTGCCCCTCCTCACTGAACTACTGTCCTGAGGTAAGGCTGAAAACACTCATGTGTGGAAACCCATTCTGCCAGTATGTGCAAATTAAACTTCCTCTAACCCTTTCCAGTCCCTCCTTCAAAAACGCAAGTCAGACCACCTCAGTCCCCTGCTTAGAGCCTTTCAATACATCCCTACTGGTTTTAGGATTTAAACCAAGTCCAAATATGCAAATTTAAAAAAATATTCCTGAAATTCTGGAAAAGACTATTCAATTTTATAAAAATGAAAATATTTTAAAACCCTAAGAAACATTTATTTGGGACCAGGTATCTCAGGAAGCATCCAGATAAATTAATTCTGTCTCCCCCACAAGAATGTAAGCTCCGTGCAGACAGAAACTCTAGGCCAAGGTCTGGCACACAGGTGAGGCTCAATCAAACTGCTGAAGAAGTGAAAGCCCAGGTGCTAATTGTGCTGACTACGAATTCCTAAAAAATGTTCTTCATTTACCAATCAGAAAGAAAGGGTAAGTAAGGTTCACAATATACGGGTTCAAGAGCTTTTTTCAATGATAAAAGTTATCCAGAATTACAAAGAAATACGGATGATGAAAAGGAAAAAGTGGTCAACCTTATTAACTATTCACGAAATGTTAGTATTAAAAGAACTTAAACTTATCGCCGGTGTGGTAGCTCATGCCTATAATCCCAGCGCTTTGGGAGGCAGAGGAAAGAGGACTGCCTGAGCTCAGGGTCTCAAGAACAGCATGGGCAACATGGTGAGACCACGTCTCTACAATAAGTCAAAAAATTAGCCAGGTGTGGTACACATGCCTGTGGTTCCAGCTACTTGGGAGGCTGAGGCAGAAGGATCGCCTGAGCCCAGCAAGTTGAGGCTGCAGTGGCCAAGAGTGTGCCACTGCACTCCAGCCTGGGTGACAGAGAGAGATCACAACTAAAAAAAAAAAAAAAAACTTGAACTTATCATTATACATCTACTACAACATAAAAATATTTCTTCCCACTAAACCATATCCAGGCAGGACTAGAAGCAGAGACAGGGAAGACAGCAAGACCCTTGCAGGCATGTCGTTACCGGGGATCATGGAGGCACTGTCATATTGAAAGGCAACCTGGCAAGATCTAACAAGCTCTATAAAATAGTTCACAGTCTTTAACTATAGAATCTTTCCTCTTTAAGAAATATACCTCAAGGAAACATGATTCAAAAAGGAAATAAAGAAACTTATAAAATAAGTACAAGACCTAATGGTAATAAAAATGAAAAAACGGAAACATTTCAAGTGACCAATAATAGGATTAAGCAAATTATTGAATATCAACACTGTAGACACTACAGCCATTAAAAAGAACTTATGGGTTGGGCACAGTGGCTCATGCCTGTAATCCCAACTTCACGGAGGCCGAGGCAGGAGGATTACTTGAACCCAGGAGTTCAAGACCTGTCTGGCCAACATGCAAGACCCTGTCTCTACAAAAATTTAAAGAAAGAAAATAGTAGGGCATGGTGGCGTGTGCCTTGTAGTCCCAGCTATACAAGCCTAGGCAACAGAGCAAGACCCCACCTCCATATTAAAAAAAAAAAAAAAAGTTATGTGTAATCCACTGACATTTTACATAGGTATATTATTTCTATATACATACTAATACTTTTCAAAAAGCAGAAAATAGTAAAACCTCAATTCTGACCACATCAAAAAGACTACATATATATTCTGAAAAAGACACATAAATGTAAAGGGTTACAAAGTTTGGTGTCTACTAGCATTCAGAAAAACCCTATTTTTTAAAAAATCTATTAAAATGACCTGTGTTTGTGACAGCTGAATGCTCTGAACCTGTGGAAGCAGAAAATACGCATTTGGCAGCTGCTTTGCTGACCCTTCTCTAGAGATTCTGCGAGTCCCAATTCCAGATACCTGCAGAAAAATAGAGAGAGAATTATTCCTCTGTTAGAGTTTTAAACATACTTGCCATAATGCTGAAACACCTCTCCAAAGGATATCTGTATTCATCGCCATGGCCTTCAAGGCTCTACTAATCCAATTATTATATTTATCTTTGTCTACAAAAAACACAGTGAGTATTACCATATTTAAGATGAATGTTCCTCATTGTAGCAAATCTTCTCACAAGTAGGCAACTCTTCTGATATGGGAACACATGTTTAAAGGAATCCAGTAAGAATTAACCACAAAAACAACTGATCTTGGCACTTAAGCTATTTGATGCCACATCCTGTTAAAGATGTCACAGGTACCAGCCAGGTGCAGTGACTTATGTCTGTAATCCCAGCACATTGGGAAGCTGAGGCAGAAGGATCACTTGAACCCAGGAGTTTGAGACTGGACTAGGCAATATAGTGAGATCTTGTTTCTACAAAAAATCAAAAAATAAGCTGGGCATGATGGTACACACCTATAATCCCAGCTATGGAGGCTAAAAAGGATCACCTGAGCCTGAGAGAGCGAGGCTGCAGTGAGCCTTAATCTGTGCCACTGTACTTCAGCCTAGGCAATGGAGTGAGACCTTGACTTAAAAAAAAAAAAAGTCACAAGTACCACTTACGGTAAGGATTCCTAACTATTTTTGAGACACCAATAAGATTCTTCACACTCTCTTCCTAGTACCTTGATAAGAACAGTGAGCTCCCTGGGAACTGGTCCCCAAGCACACCACCAATGTCGCCCAGTCAGAAAGATTCCTGAGCCAAGCAGGCAAAACCAGCAGAGAGAATCTTTAGAGTTCCTCCCTCTGAACTATTAAAAGTCTGCTGCGTTTTATAGCAGGAAACTGCCTATGACAGATTTTTTCTGTTTTTTTCCAATACCCTTCAAAGATTGGTGGCAGGGTTATGGCTCTGTCATCTGTATGAGAGACAACCACCTGGGGCACATCAGGCAGAAAAGTGAAGGAGCCTTAATTTAACATCACAAAGGGTCTTATATTTTAATAACATAAACCAGGTGGCAACACTCCTGAAAGTATTTTTTTAAATATCCAAACCCCTACTGTTAAGCCAACAACCAAATCATGTGACAAAAGGGATAAGTTACTCACATGATAGGAAAGGACTCCATATGAAGAGGTATTAATAAATAAAGAACTTTCGATGCTTCCTTCCTCAGTAGGTAAGAAAATAATTCTGAAGGAAATTTTCCCCATTGCTGGAATTACCTGAAAGAAAGGCACCCCATTAGCCATTTGGAATGGCCAACTGGGATAAACTGTCTTCTACAGACTTTCTTGACAATTTCTGTTAACAGATATTTGCATATTCTGCACCCTTGATTTATCAGTATTATGAGTCCATGAGAATTCCCAAACTGATCAGCATCAACAATCTAAGAGGATATCTCAAAGAACATAAAAAACCTACTCAGGGTGAGAGAGTTACTTTTCACTTCAGATTGGAGCAGTGAATCTCACCACTTTCCTTCCTCTTCGACACCCACACATCCAGCTGTCTTTAGGTAACACAGTTCTACCTCTACTTAGGGAACAACAATGTGTAAACATTCTGATATGTAATAAAAATCAGAGACAATGTTTGTCCAGACAGACCATATAAACCAAGTACTGGGCTCCTTTACAACATGCCCTCTGTCCTAGTATTTTTTTAAAATGCATGATATCAGGCAGACACAGCAAAACAAATAAAAGTCTACTAGCAATTAAGATCTTCATCTAAATCCAAGACCACTGAAATTACAACTCTTAGGAGAGGAGAGTTTGGAGCTTTGTGTCATGGTACAAACTAGCTTTCTAAGGAGCCATTCACCACCTGATTGCCCTACATTCAGAAAGGAGCCTTAACATCCCTGACAGGTTTGAAGGTAGAAGAGGTCAGAACATAAACTTGCATTAGTTATAATGCCTCAGCATTTATAATCACTTCAAGACAAACACAATAAACTTTCTTTAACCACAATACAGCCATGTTAAACATACACGCATTACTACCTAGTTTGGATACTTCAAACTTCCTCCCTCCCTCCCTCCCCAGCCAGGTAGCTATCAAGAACCACCAAAGTGATAAAAATGAACAACTGGAAAAGTAAATGTGAAAGTAAACACCCAGAAGGAGAAAGGTTGGGTAGCAGAAAAAGGGGAGACAGGGAGTAGAAAGTAAAAGCTCCAGGCCAAAGAAAGCAAGAGAAGCTGGCCGCCTGCCACGGCATAGTTTCCAGGAGTCCATCAACACTCACCCTGCAGGGAACAGGAGGCACATGGAAGTGTCCAACAGCTGTAAACACTGAGTTCACCACAACCTCGCTGTCCCTGCTAGGGTTGTAAGCAAATAGAACCTTCGCGGCAGGATGTCCCAGGAACCTGAAGAGGAAAAAAGAGAAAAATCAACGTACTGTGTGGTTATAAATATTACTGTACATATATCTACACACACACACACACACACACACACGTTTAAACCCAGAAAGCTGTTGGCACTCATTACAAAGTTAAGAATAATTATCAAACCCTGCTGGTAATACAACAGTCAATCCACAGCAGTCAAAAATGATAAAACAAAAAACAGCAAGACAAATTTTCTTTTATAAGACTTATGGCAACCCATAAGAGCACCCCGTAGGTTTCTGAGTTAAAAAAATTCAACCCATCTAGACCATTAAAGGCTCGCAAAGAGAAAAAAAACACACACACATATTGGCACTTCCTGGTACTTCTCTGACCCAGATCTCAATGAAAATATGTTGAGATAGGAAACTCTACTCATAGAAAAACACAATTTTCTTACGGCTTGTTTTCTGAGTAATAAATCTAAGGAGGCTTTTTGAGGAGGCAATGTATTTTTAACTCCCAAAGAAACTTTATTGCATTAGGTCTTGTAAAAGAAAAACTTAATTGTTGCTAAAGGTTGTTCTCCTGAGAAAAATAAAACCCGGCAGCACTCAGTAGCAATGATTCTCATTCATTTAAATTATGAGCCTTTCAGGAAACTGATGGAAGCTTTGGCTCCTCCTTCCACAAGCATGCACTTACAAAAAGTTCTGTACATGGTTTCAAAGCCTTGCACCAACCTTAGAGTAAGAATTCCTGTCCTACAGCAAACACACTAACTCATGAGGGGGCTTTGGGTGGGTTCCTTTCAGAGGCACTCTCCGGCTACAATCTCTCTGACAAAGGAAGTGCCAAAGCAAAGAAGCTGGTCTCTGTACCACAGACCTGGAGCCTCCTACAATGTTCCCTCGAATCACTTAATTCTGATTCCTACAGCCCAGTACCAGATTGAGTCTAGTTCAATTATGTTATAATGACCAGAGCTAAGGCAGCACACGTTTCCCTGAAGTCACTTCTCCAGTTTTAAATACTCTCAGTGCCAGAGTCCCAAATATACAGTTCTCGTCAGATGGCTTCGAAATAAAACCATATTCTCATTTAAGCAAAAAACTCATATTCAATATGCTTACATTTCTCTAATTTTACTCGGAGTTCTCTGATATTGAAAATATGTGCTTTAGGAAAAATGAAATGCATGTTGTTCCTCTTACAGACAATATGGGATTTCCATATTGTCGTACTAGCACTGTATTACTACCAGCAGATGCCTAGGCTTTTTCTTTTACCTTTCACACCTACCTTTAATCACTAGTCTCAATGAAAGGTTTCATATATCCAATGTGCATTTCAAAGCATTCTTTACATCCAGTTATAAATAAAATATCCATCAATGTGTTTAAAACCTTGATTTTTTTAATGCTCTTAATATAATTTAAAAGAAAAGGTTTTTACACTGCCATACACATAAAGAATCCCTCAGAAAGCCCTTTCTCAGAGTCCTGAGCTCCTGTTTGCATTTCTTCTTGCAATTAAATTAAAATTAAATAAATAAGGAATTATGTGGTTTTAGTATGAACTAACCAAAGTTATTAATACTTAATATAAACACTTTATATTCCATTCATATGATTGAAATACAAGATTTCTCATTTCAAAGAATCCAAATGTCTACTGGAGAAATACAATAAAAAGTTAAGACTGTGGGGGCTGGGTTCGGTGGCTCAGCCATAATCCCAGCACTTTGGGAAGCCAAGGTGAGTGGATTGCCTGAGCCTGTGGGTTCGAGACTAGCCTGGGCAACTTGGCGAGACCTTGTCTCTACAACATATCAAAAAATTAGCCGGGTGTGGTAGCGCATGCCTGTAGTTCCAGCTACTTGAAAGGCTGAGGTGGAAGGATCGCCGGAGCCCAGCAGGTCAACACTGGGGTGGCCGTGAGCGTGCCACTGTACTTTAGCCTGGGCGACAGAGTGAGACTCCAACTCAAAAAAAAGGAAAGAAAGTTAAGACTGCAAACTGCGATGCCACAGAGCTGCACCTGTCACAAACTTCACCAGACCCAGCAGAGAATGCTGGCTGAAACCTAGTAACCATGGTGCTATTTTTATTCTATTTTTTTAATTCTATTTTTAAAAGTGTGCTGAGGATATGAGTTTCCTTCACTAGTGACAACTGGAAGATACTCTATTAATTTAATACTACAAAAGAATGATTAAAAGTTCTTGTGAATGATTAGCACTTTTAATCTCAGGACCAGCAGAATATTAAGGTTTAAAGTAAGCTCTAAGAAGCCGGAGAAGACAACTGAGTGACACAATCTTGATTTTTTATCTTTAGAGGGAAACCAAAGCCATGGAAAGGGATGGGATATGCCCAAGGTCAACATCAAAATAACCAATGGTACAAGCTGAACTAGGGCCGTGAAGACATCAGGAGAACCCTGGCTAAAGTTTTGCTCTACTGTCTATAAATTATGCCATTTGTTAAACATTAGGTAAAACCTAATTTTAAATGTGTTCTAATTTAGACTAGAGTTCGTGCTTATTTAGTTGTTTTTTTTTTTTTAGCAAAATAATTTATTCCTATAACATATATCCTAAAACTCATTTATTAAAAAAAAAATAGCATAGTGAGTACTGGCTGAGAAATCAGAAGATTCTACCGCTCCTAGTGAAATGACCTCGGGGCAAACTGCATTACTTCTCAGCAAGAAATGTATAAACACATCTGTAGCACATGCATCAATTCAGAGATATCTGAAAATGATACACACACATTCTGATAATACCTGCCTTCATGAGCCTTACAGGACTGATACAAAACTCAGATGACAAGAGACATAACTGCACTTTAAGAACTAGAAAGTACTAGATAAATACAACCGAATCATACACAGTGATTCAAATACAAAACTCAGCAATTCTTTTCAAATTAAAAACTGCAGACATTCTTAACACATGCTTTAGCTGATATGTAACACTCATTAACATATGTAGCTAGCATACAGCTGGCTCTCCATATTCTCAGATTCAAACAATCTCCATCAAAGATATTGAAAGAAAAAATACAGTAAGAACAACAATAAAAAATAAATAAGTAGGCAGGGTGTGGTGGCTCAAGCCTGTAATCCCAGCACTTTGGGAGGCCAAGGCGAAGGGATTGCCTGAGCCCACATGTTCGAGAACAGCCCGGGCAACCTGGCAAGACCTCATCTCTACAATAAATCAAAAAAAATTAGCACGGCATGGTAGTGCACACCTGTAGTTCCAGCTACTTGGAAGGCTGAGGCAGAAGGATCGCCAGAGCCCAGCAGGTCGAGGCAGCCGTGGCCGTGAGCTTGCCACTGCACTACAGCCTGGGTGATGGAGTGAGACTTCAACTCATAAATAAATAAATAATACAGTATGACTACTTACAGAGCATTTATTTAACACTGGGTAAAGATTGCCTTAAGTATACAGGAGGATGTGTAAAGGTTAAATGCAAATACTATACCAAGGAACCTGACCATCCTAAGGTCTTAGTATCTGCAGGGCCCTGAAACCAATCCCCTGTGGGGAAGGAAGGGCAACTGTATGCATATACTCTTGTGAACTAACTCAAGGACTTTTTGATGTTACTGAACAGGAAATATATCAAACAGTCAGGACCCTACACACTGGAATTATTACCCTACTAGCTATACTTATTACGATCCATCTTATTACATCTACCAATCTATAACACATACTCTTTAAAATGGGTCCTGTACTCAAATTTATTTTTACTATGAAGATTTTTCATACTAGTACTCTCTCAGAATTTAAAATCAGTGGTGCAATGACACGTTCAGTTTATTTATATTTATCAACTGAATTATTATAATAAAGCCAGCTAATAAAGCTTCTTTACCTAAGAATAAAAATACTAAAAACCATTAAAAATGTTTACAAGCAGACACCTAGGATCTTGTAAAGTCACCAAACTCCTTTCACAGTTTTTGCTCTTCTTCCTTTTACAACCTCTCCTTTAAGGAGCTCACAAGGCACTTATTTTAAACTCCAGGTTCATTCTCCTGGACTGCAGCTCTAACCTTCTGATGACCAGAGGGAAAGGGGAGACAGTAATCCATACAAATAGGGGAGGGTAGACCTGAGGCCTGACACCATCCCCGCTGGATGTGACCCTCTATAACCAGTTACTTTTTTTTTTTTTTTTTTTTTGAGTTGGAGTCTCACTCAGTTGCCCAGACTGGAATGCAGTGGCCGCTCCCGGCCACCGCAGCCTCGACCTTGCTGGGCTCCGGCGATCCTTCCGCCTCAGCCTTCCAAGTAGCTGGAACTACAGGTGCGTGCTACCACGCCCAGCTAATTTTTGATTTATTGAAGAGATGAGGTCTCGCCAAGTTGCCCAGGCGGGTCTCGAACCCGTGGGCTCAGGCAATCCACTCACCTCAGCCAACCAAAGGCACGGGATTACAGGCTGAGCTACCCAGCCCGGCTCCAGTTACTTCTTTCACAAGACTCTGCTTATAATTCAAGAGGCTCTTCATAAAACATACGCAGGCCCTGAAACCAGCAGAGCTTTTATCCCTCACTCTGTTGCACCCTCCCTAGATATAACCAATGTGAAGTTTTAGCTTTCCAATGCTGCTATACCTACATCCAGGGAGCTTAACACTTTAAGTTTCAAACTTTATCGAAGACAAGAGTCCTTGAGTTCCCAGTGTTCCACAGTTTCACCCCTGTCTTCCTTAATTTCTCCAGTCTCCAAATTAGGCCTTCAACTCACACTCAGATCACATTCCCTTCATTTCACGGTCCTTACTGTGACATTCTGTAAGTCATTATACCTGTCTTCCTCACTTAACTTGAGTTTCCCAAGTCTTAATTGTAATAAGTACAGTGCAATTTTGAATCCAAAAGGCACAGTAAGAAGTAAAAACAAGCGAGTGAGTAAATGAATTCAGCTTTTAAAAACTCAGAAATCATCAGTATCTACAGCTTTTCATTATAAAATAACCTGATTTGTTTTGGAAAAGCAAAAAGCTAACAATGACTTCTTATTAAATTCTAATCACCATGAAATATTACAGGTGTGTTTACTCGAGACAGGGCTAAAACAATTTTTATGCTCTTCTTTGCACAAAAATACTTCTTTTAACAAGTCCATGGATCAATATCACTTTATATTATTAAACATACTTAAAATTTAACATTGTACATATATATAAAAGATACCCTGAAAATAAACAATACAAAGTTGTTCTTAATTTCACAAAAATATACTTACTGTATTCCAAAATCTAGAACTGATGGCTGAAAATGTAAGCCTTTTCCACTAAATAGTTTGTCCGAGAAGCTAAAAAGAAAACAAGAAAAACAAAGATTAATCTCTGTTGTACTTTTAAAATTTGGATGGTGAGTTAGTTAAGATGAATACTTACACCAACGACTCTCGATGCATGAGATATAATTCTACTTCCTTAGACATGAATCTGAACTAGATTTTAAGTAATAAAATTGAATTCTTAGAAGCCTAATATAACTCTAGAACTGCATAATTGAGATACTCTTAGATTATGTTTAGTATAATGTAATATCAAATGTACGCATCTTGTAAGCATTCAGACAGAAAGGGAGATGGACTTAATTTTTTTTTTTTTTTTGAGCTGAAGTTTTCCTCTTTTGCCTGGGCTAGAGTGCAGTGGCATGCTCACAGCTACCACAGCATTGATTTGCTGGACTCAGACAATCCTACCACCTCGGCCCTCCAAGTAGCTGGAGCTACAGGCATGAGCCACCATGCCGGGCTAATTTTTTTTTTAATTTATTGTAGAGATGAGGTCTTGCCAAGTTGCTCAGGCTAGTCTTGAACCCTGGGCTCAGGCAATCCTCTCGCCTCTGCCCACCAAAGTGCTGAAATTACAGACATGATTTCATTTTCCTTCATAATTAAAAGCCACAAAACAAGATAGCAGAAAAATATACCCCCCAAAATCAAGAAAACATGTAAAATAAAAACAGAATAAAGCTATAGCAAAATACATAAACATACTTAAAAGATATAAAATACAAAAAATAAATACTGATGAGTACCAAAAAAAATCAACTTCCTTATGATATTTCAAAGCCACAGTAATCCAGAAATGTTTAACTAAAGAAGCCCCTAAAGGTACCACGTGTAACTGTTTTCTAAGGTTAAAGCAAGTTTTCCAAAATAGTATCATTCCATTTTCTCCTGTCACCCAACAGCCCTCAATAAAGCTGGTCCAGAGTCTGGCGCTGGAGTGAACACTTGTTTTTCAAGCCTGTGGACAATAGGCAGCTTTGTGACCTTCAGCAAGTACCTCTCCAAGATCCCATTTTTATTGAAAGTACAAACAATGCAGGGACCAGAGAATCCCTTCCAAAGCCCTCATCTTACAGGAAGAATTCCAGCTGTCATCTTTTCTTCCTCTCTCCATTTTCTGCCTTTATTCAGGCTTCCCTTCTTCCATCCTCCTTCTGTAAAAGTCCTTTCTCCATTGTTGTCTGTCTGGATTTCCTTTACCTCAAACATTAGCTGTATTGGTAAGACCAGGTGCAGTGGCTCATGCGTGTAATCCCAACACTTTGGGAGGCTGAAGCAGAAGAACTGCGTGAGCCCAGGAAATAGCGACCAGTCTGGGTAACAGAGCAAGACTTTATCTCCGTAAAAAAAATAAATAGTAATAAAAAAGACACTTGGTCTCCATCTGCTTAACTTGTATCTCTACGCTTGTTTTGAATGTGAGCAAGACTATCCACACTGAGCCCCCCATCAAGCCCCAAAAGGCCAGCACTAATTTCACAACCTGCTTGTAAAGAAGGCCGCTGGCACACAGTTGCCTCCAGAAATGATGTAAAGAGCCACAGTGGGCGATGAAGAAGAGATACCTACAACGGGTATACCACGGGCACCCCACTCCAGACCAAGCTGGCCAGCGTTCCGCATTCCAGAAGAAAAAGAAACAGGCAACTTCATGTACCCAAAAGTATCTTTAGAGAACCCAAGCCACTGTGTTAGTCATGAGAGAACTAATTCATGACAGCCTTCTTCCTATCTTGTGCACTGAAAAGTGAATTCGCAATCAGATTTTACACACAACTTCCAAATGAACAGATGAAGCTTGGAGGATTTAGGTAATTCACCCGAGGTCACGTAGCTACTAACAGGCAGAGACAATCCAGGTTTGCTGAGGTGGGAAATGGGAGCCCTGTGTGGAGTTCAGGTACAGCATGACCTATCTAAGGGACAGGCGCAGATTAGAGGCTGGTGAGGGTTCAGGTTGCAGAGGTCAGACAAACCTGGACTCCAGGCCCACGACCATCACTTGCTAGTCCGGAGTGGCCCAATCACTGAACTCCTCTCAAGTCCCAACCTTATTATCTATAAAATGAAGATGACCACAGAATCTACCCTGGAGTTATTGTGAGGACAGAATGAGATAATAAAGCCTCTGCTTCATGTCTGGTACTACGTGCAATAAATATTAGATCATATTACTAAGAGGATGACACGCATTTGCAAGAAGAGCAATGAGAACATACAGAGAAGCCAACTGAGCTCAAAGCCAAAGCTGACCTCTGGAATTAAAAGTTCCCGATGGGATAGTCATTATTAGCTCTGAAGAGAACAAATGAAACATAAACCTAGACTGCCTCATATCCTGAAAGAGATTTTTAAATCCCACAATCAGGAAATTTTATATACCCAATAAAAATCAGATATTTGGGGTCCAACCCAAAGTAATATGCTATAAATAGCCAGAATTTCTCTAACTTCAAAGAAATCTCTATTTCAATCCCAAATGGAGAAATAAAATTGAGCCAATTTTTTTCCCCTACAAGTCATAAAATAGATTCTTTTCTCTCATTGGTTGATACTGGCTTACTTGACTATACAATTCGGAAAATACTGTATCAAGTTACAAGGAGGTTTAAGATCACTATATATATTAAAAAGTTAGTTCTTGAGCCGGGCTCGGTGGCTCAGCCTGTAATCCCGCGCCTTTGGGAGGTTGAGGTGAGTGGACTGCCTGAGCCTGAGGGTTCGAGACCCGCCTGGGCA